CAAGTACTATTAGTGCGAGTGTTATTCGAAGGCATCAGACACCAGTATTGTTCAACGGCGTTACTATAGTTGTATCTGCGATTACAAAGTCTCTACTACAACGAGCATTACAAAAGTGACAACGAGTATTTGTTGACATTATAAAAGTGGCAACGAGTATTTGTTGACATCACAAAATTCCTTACACCAAAACACGACATCTTTAGTTACCATATTTGCTATAGCCAACACAACCCCTCAAAGTTTCCATAAAGTCCTAACTAATTCCCATATGTACAATTTGTCTGGGGGTGGGGGATAAAATAACAATATTTAAAAATTCATCCCCAATAGAGGAGAATTCATCAAACATGAAAGTTAACATCAATAAACTACACCACGAAAATAATAAACAAAAACTTCAAAATCTCAAGGTCCTCTATATCAAAATCAACCAACCAACACTCAACAAAATTTATTACGAATATAGCAACAACATATTAAAGTGCATATAACATTAATATACCGATTTTACATTTCTTCCAATTCCTGGTCAAACTTCTTTAAAAAGTCGCTGTCTAAAGGGAGGGTCGTTGTTTTTTTGTTTTTTATGACCTTTTCAACGACGCCGTCTTAATGTTCCTAGTGTTTTTTGTTTTGTTCAAGAGGGAAGAGAGGAGGAGTGTAAAGAGAAAAGGAAAGAAATGGAAAGAAAAAATTGGTGGTGGGAAAAGAAAGCAAAAAACCTTTCTTTTCATAATTCCTATGACCCGCGAATGTGCTCGAATATTTTTTATTTTTTAATTTTTTAAGCAACGTTCCATAGGAAAGGAAACTTTTCTGGCCATTACTTACCTGTTATGTCAAACTGTTCGTTGAGAATGTGGGTCTTCCCGCGTGTTGGACTCAAGATGGAAAAAAGGCGAGTATGCTGTCTATTCTCTTTTTGTATCGTCTTGGCTGAGGAGGAAGTGACGTAGGTCCTTACTGATTAGTCAATTGTGATTTCAAGATAAGCAGTGGCAGTTACTCAATGAGTCCATTTGTTGCGTGCTTGGCGGATTTTTTGCTTCAGGATCGCCTGCCGGAATAGTACTGTTTCGGTAGGGTCTCTTGGACGAACAAGTATGATGTTGAAAGACCCGAAACTTGTCATGACCCCAAGTCATAACATCACTGAGGAGGCGATCCTGCGCACTCGTTGGAGTGTTTTCATAACAAATAATGAAACGATTGTTTTGTTAAAAAATTCCATACCTACAACAAATAAATTTAAAAATTCTAAAATAACTATAACAGCGCGTTCGAGAGTATTTAAAAAAAAATCACTATGACTATAAACTGTCAGCATCGAACTTGCAGTTGCATCTACTTACATCTACAACTGTAAAATAATGAGAACTTGTCTCGATTCTGGTACTGCGCTTAAATTCTTAAAGTTTAGGTACCACAGAGAAAAGTTCATCAGAATCATTACCAAGAAAATATTTATCGAAAAGTCACAGTGGTGAGAAAGTGATTGAAATTGAGATGCCAGGTCAGAACCAATAATATTGCAGATACTTCTTTGGCTTTTATCAAGGATCTCTAAATATATAGCAGTCGGACCAGACCAGATGTAGCAGCGATATTCTAAGCATTGACAAATAGTAGACTTGTAAATATGTAAGGTAGATTCTGGCTAGAAAAATGTCTAGCACGAGACAATGAACCAACCTTCCTAGCAGCTGACCTGGCAATCGATTCGATATAATCTTTCCATTTCATGTGAGTGGAAAACGTAAGCCCGAGAGAGCTCAATGTGTAGCTCTTCTGGAGGCTAACACGACGCCTCCTGACGAAAAGCAGAAAGGGTTCTCTCAGACGATTAATACTGTTATTATGTTTTACAGGCGTTAAAATTAGCAAGCCATTCCTTACTCCAGTTAACTACGAAATGTAGGCCATTTATAAGATCAGCTGCCACTCTGACCTCATCGAACCGCTCAGATTTACCATTAAGACGAGAATAAATGGTTGTGTCACCAGCATAGATACCGAGTTGAGAACTGATGTCACCAGGAAGGTCGTTGATGAAAATTAGGAACAACGTACGTTCAAGCCTTAGGAGACGCCTGGCATTGATGCAAAAAGATATAGAAGAGTGGCCGTTCAAGAGGACTTTCATTTCCCCATTTGATAAAGACTTACTCAGTTCAAACTTCGTACTGAAATGCCATAACTTAAGCGAAGAAGACCAATATGCCAAACCGTGTCAAATGCCTTCGAGATAGCCAAAGCACCAGCCCGAGTTTCACCATTCTCATCTAAAGCTTGATATTCTCTTTCAGCAATAACTGTTAATACATCAGCAGTTGACTTAGAGAAGCGAAAGATATACTGCTTATCTGAAGGAAGACTGTAGTATGAGATACTTAACCACTTCAGAGTTTTTAGAGCCTCTAGTACTTTGCCAAAAAGTGGTAGAATACTAATAGGCTGATAGAAGGATCAGAGAGTTCATCTAAGTTCTTGAAGTGTGGAACTACAGAAGAGGATTTCCAACAAGTAGGTAAGATGAACAATGAGGAAGTCAAAGAAAATAAAATCTCCAAGAAAAGTTATGCTGACAATCAGAAAGAGATGAATTTTTGGGGGACATGCAATAAAGAAAGAAGGCCGGGAGCGTGTGGCACCGTTTTTCTTCATTTGCTAAGGCTCCCGTTCAGATTTACTATTAAGACAGGAGTAAATAGTTGTGTCGTCAGCATAGATACCGAGCTGAGAATTGACAATATCAGGAAGGTCATTTATGAAAATTAGGAACAATGTAGGTTCAAGGATAGAGCCCTGGGTAACACATGCATTATTGCAAAAACATCCAGAAGAGTAGCCATTCGAGACAACTTTTATTTCACGATTTGATAAGACTGAAACAGTTCAAAAATTAGTCCAGAAATACCATAACCTTTCAACTTGTGAAGATGACAAATATGTTAAACCCTGTCAAATGCACTCGAGCTGTTCAAGGCAATAGCCTGAGCTTCACCATTCTTATCTGTTGTGATAAATTAAATGGTTAAGAGATAACAAAACCAGTGTTGCAGATATATCATATATTAAACAGTAAGTAAAATAGAAGAGCATTACATGACTAGTGAGTGTGTGTCGGTTGACCCAGCGTTCAATCTATTTGACTGATCCCCAAGGTCTTATCTAATACTAATCTTATAGTAGGCGGAAGAGTCCAACATAGACTTTTTAGAGGGAAGACACCACAAAATTATATTTGGTTAATTTAGTATCCTCTGTTTTATTTATTTATTTGTTATATATATATATATATATATATATATATATATATATATATATATATATATTAACTCGGGAAGCGTGCTGTGATTTCTAGGGCACATAAAGGGAGCTTGGAAAATTTGTAACTCACAAGACAGAGGAAAGCAGATGAGATTATCTAATAAATGGTTGGCAGAATAGTGATGAGTATATATCGCAAAAGTAGAAACTTTGCTACGGGGGTACAAAGGACAGGAAGTTGTGGGGAATCATAATCACCTACGTCCGGAAGGAGCACTACACGTAGAAGAAGAAGACTCACAACAACCCTAGTTCTCTGGGCTTTGTGCTCTTTCTGATAAGATAGCATCGAGCGAAGAAACCCCGGCACAAGTCAAAAAGCCTTTGAAAAAGCTTGCATAAAGTACATATCCACGTGCGTAACTCTGATAAAAGTTGAAAGTACGTTCACCATGATCTTTTTCGACAGTTCAAGAAATCCTAGGGCATCAGTTTGTTGTCAAGCCTAAAAAAATAAAAACATGCAATGTATTCAACTACGTCAAGCAGTCATAAAAAAATGGAACCATCTCTAATAATTACCGTTTCCTGTTGAAATTAAATTAAGATTCCCGTAGATGAAATAAAGAGTTAATTTCGAAATTCTCTATAGTGTAGGTAACACGGATCGATATACACCTGACGAAGACCGGAGGACACAACGGCTGAAACGTCGTGATAACAACAACAAAGATGAGGACGATTGCCGGCATGAAAATCATGTAAATAATGATAACTCACCATTTCCAGAAATTCAACAATGTTGAAAAGTGTTTCAGACCTTGTTTCAGACCTTTTTTTTTCGAGTAAAATACAGGTCTCTTTAGACTGTAGGAATATTATTACTGTTATGAATAAATAAAAATAAAATTATAATAATGAAAATCATAAATAAAATAAAAATAAAACAATAACATAAAAACGTTGTATAAAATAGTAAAAATACTCCCTGCATGCAAGAAAACCTGTTCCTACCGGAAATGCTGATATCCCGCCAAAAGACGTTAAATTCAATCTCTTCACCACGAACCTTGGTACGGGCAACACATGTCCAACTTCTCACTGTGATATGGTTTGTAATACTACGGAGTAACTTCTCCCTTTTATTACATGTAACATAAAACAATTGTAACAAAAAAAAAAAAAATACACGCACCAAGACTCACAAAAATATAAATAAATTGTATGAAAGTAACATACAATTTACCTGTTATTTCTGCAGGTTTTATTTTCTGTCAAGTATGCTTTTATCTCCGTGAACATATGGCTAATTTATGCTGCTATGATGTAAGTGGATTCCCCACAACATTATGTTGACCACCGGCGTGTACAAAAAACATACTACTGTCCACAAGAAGTAGAATCAAGTGACGGCAGTCGTTCAAAATGAATACAATCATCTTTTATTTAAATAAATTGAAGTTAGATTTGTTTTTCTATGCTTTCTTGTACAGCATCATTACTTTCTGAACACTCTGCCCGTATTCTGCTTTTTCACTTTTCGCTTGTTATAAAATATTTTGCCAGCACCCGACATTATTAACTTCATTTTTCGCGATATATTTTTGCTTTCTTTGGTGTCAGGAACACAATTTTCTTTAAAAAAAAATTGATTGAATTCCTTTTTGCTGCTGTTTTTTTAATAGCAACATTAAATATTCATATGAACGCGTTTTCATAAACAGCGCATGTTATTAGATAAGCAAATGTCAAAAACGAATGCCTCCCGATTTATAACCGACGCGCGTTCCTTTCATGTCTTCCCTTTCACGTATTCATTGTTGTTTTTCTTTTTACTTCTGTTTCTTCTTTCTGTCTCCTCTTTTTCTCTTTCTCTTTTTCTGTTGCTTTTCTCACTTTCTTTTGAATCTTACTCCGATCTTTTCTTTTTTCACCTTTTCTTCTATTTACTCTTTCTTTTTTGTTTCTTTTCTTTATTTTTTACTTTTGTTTTCTCTTCCTTTTTTATTTGTTTTCTGTTTTTCTTTTCTTTCTTTTTGTTTTCCCTCCTCTTTTTAAACGTCCGCTCTGTTCTTTCTGCCCTCATTTGTTTTCCTCTCTTTTTCTATTATTGATTTATATTTGGTTTTACTTTGTCAATTGGTTTTTCATTTCCCATTTTTACTTCTATTGTTTTCTTTCTTCCTCTCTTTCTTTTTCCTCGTTTCTTTTTCCAAGTTTGCTTTCTTTCAAATTGGTTTCACTCCTCCTGCTCCTCCTCCTCCTCCGCCTTCTTCTTCTTCTTCTTCTTCTTTTATATTCTCCTTCTTTATTTCCTCCATTTATTTTCTCGTCATCTTATTTTCTTACTGCTTTCTTTTCTGTATCTCTTTTTTAATTTGTTTTCCTACATTTTAGATTTTTTCTTGGATTTTTATTCTTTCTTTCTTTCTTTCTTTCTTTCTTTTTCACTTCCCAGTTCATCCTGTCTTTTCCCTTCGTTTTTACCTATCGTTATTCACTGCATTTTTTCTATTTTTCTGTTTTTTAATTTTCTTTCTTTCTTTTTCACTACCTTTTCTCAGTTTTTCTCTTTTTTCTTCATTTGTTTTCGCGCCATTTTCTTTTTCTAACCGCTTTATTCTACTTCTTTTACTTCTATTTTCTTCTTTTTTCTCTTTCTTTTCTGTTTGTTTTTCCTATCGTTTTTCCCTGCTTTCTTCCTTTATTCTTTTGATTTTCTGATTTTTTTCCTTTTTTCCCCATGATTCTTCTTCTCCTTCTTTTCCTTTTTATTTATCTCCTTCTTCTTCTTCTTCTTCTTCTTCTTCTTCTTCTTCTTCTTCTTCTTCTTCTTCTTTTCTTTTTTTTTTTTATATTGTTTTTTTTTTCTGTTTGCACTTTTCCTGCCTTTTTTTTTATCACCTTTTACTTTTTCTTATCTCCAACCTCGTTTCATTTTCTTTCTTTCTTTCTTTCTTTCTTTCTTTCTTCTTCGTTTATACTTCTATTTTATATTTTCTTCACTTTTGTTTTTTTTTTCTCTTCATTTTTTTTCGCTTTTCTTCTTTGGTTTTTCTGTCTTTTCTACGTTTTTCTTCTCCATATTTTTTATTTCCATTGTCTTCGTTTATTTTATCTTCGTTGTTTTATTTTCTACGCTGCTTTTTCTTTTTCCTTCATTTGTTTCGTCACCTTTTTTCTTTTCTTCATTTTCTTTCTTTCTTCATTTTTTTCTTTCTTTTTTCTTCGTTTCGTTATACTCTTTTTAAAACTATTTTCTCCTTCACTTCTTTTTCTCTTCGTTTTTACCCTATTATTTTCCTCTACCTTTTTTTTTTAGTTTTTTCCTTTTTTCCTGTCTTTTTCTTTTCTTAATTTTTGATTTTCACTTTTTCGCCTTGTTTTTTCTCACTTCCTTTTACTGATGCGCAATTTTACCTTTATCTACTGGGCTACTTTCTAAAGGAAATAATTTTATCTCACAATATTTTGTTCACCGCACTATTATCTCACCTTCCTGTGCAAAAACGAATCAAATGCCTAAATGGGCCTGCCGTTAGAAGATGTGAAATGTTTTTGTTAAATAACTCACTTTTAATGCCTTTAACATTGATCACAGCGCCATAATTATAAAGAAGCAAAAAGGATATATTTCATTATTGTGTACGCACACATGAAAAGCAAACAAAACTGTAAAGATGTTACATTTAAATACTTCATTATTATTAAAAATAGCTTCAGTTACTAGAGTTAATGACAATTCTAAAGAGAACGGAGAAATTAGTGACAGGCACCCCGGTGGCAGGCCAGCTGCTGCTGTGAATGAGGATATGGCTAAATAAGCTGATACATTCATTACAGCTGACAGAATAATTACTCTTGCAAAAGTTTTTGAAAAACATCAGGGGAGCTATGGAAGTACCTGCAGTCTAGGGCAATCTCTTGGCTATTCAAAGCTATGCACAAATGGATTCCTGGAATATTGGTAAACTCCATGAAGAAGGTTAGGTTGGTTTCTTCCAAAGTGTTTGTGAAGCCCTTGACCTGGCATCCTCAGTTCATATGTTTGGGTGCATGAAAGAGACAACGGCTCTCCAATGAGTGGAAACATCAACTCCTACATGAATCAGGAGACAAATAAGAAATTTCTATGAGGAAGCTTTACTGTACCCTCATTCAAAGTGGATTATCATGATTGAGAAGGAAGGAGATTATGTTAAGAACTAGATTTGAAATCGTAAAACATTTGTGATCAATTTGACATGTTTTGTGTGTTTATATTATCAAATCTGTTGTAATTAAAGAACAATAGACATTACCTTTGAACTTGCCTTATATTATGATTGAGAAGAGAAGAGGCTATGTTAACGACAAGAATGGGAATTCTGAGACTATTGTATTCATTCTAGTATGTTCTGTGTACTTCTACTATTAAATATGTTGTAATTGAAGAAGATCAAGTATTTCCTTTTGACCGATCCTCATTATCATGATTGGAAAGGAAGGTGACTATGTTGAAGACTAGAATGGGAATCCTAAGACATTTGTGTTCATAAGTTTTGTCAAAATGGTTACCAGGTGAATTGAACTCTGACCTTCTACAAAATCATGTAGTGGTAGATAATTTCGTGTATCAACCAGAATAGATTTCATTTTCTGTTAAGCATGATATAGGATTTCACACTTTCCGCTTATATTTGAGTCTGTATGGTTGGTGTAATGGCTCGGACCGATAATTTGGAGAGCCGAGTCCGAATTCCAGTCAAGTTCTTTACATTCACTTATGCGCAAATACACTTGGGAAAAGTATGAATCTCCTCCCCCAGCTATGGGTCAACTAGTGAGAGGATATTCTCAAAATAAAAAGAATTATTCTTACAAAATATGTTTCGGCATTAAATAATCCACAAAGGATTGATAAACCGTAAGAAACAAATCAATCCATCTTTAAACACGCGAACACACACAATGAAGAGATTTAGCTTAGAGTATCTCAATATACCCAATGAGGATCAATCTCACTACTGTAGTATGATAGCTGGTTGGTAAATCAGCTCACCGACGGCGGGGTATCATTAATAGTGGACATAAAACCCTGTTTGAACGTGTATTGGATAGTACAGAGCAAAGATTCCCACCGGTGGTCCACCCAGCAATCTTAGTGGTCCACAAGAATTCGTAGCCATAAAAAAAAATTGTAGCCATTTCACAAAAATGTATCTAAATTATTCATACTTTGAAGAATTAAAGCATATAATATTTTGTTTAATTGCACACATGTCCATTATATTTGAAAATTTCCAAATTTCGCAGTTATTATGCAGTGTTATATTTATTTTATTTTATCATATTATATATATATATATATATATATATATATATATATATATATATATATATATATATTATATATATGTATATTATATATATAATTTATAATATATATTAAATATATAATTTATATGTATATATATATTATATATATAATATATTATATATATAATTTATAATATATATATATATTATATATATAATTTATAATATATATTATATATATATTATATATATAATTTATAATATATATTATATATATAATTTATAATATATATATATATATAATTTCCAAATTTCGCAGTTATTTTATTTTTATCATATATTATATATATATATATATATATATATATATATATATATATATATAAAGTGGTCTTTTTTTCTTTATATATATATATATATATATATATATATATATATATATATATATATATATACGCTTATCACCAATCCAAGAAAGACATTTGAATCACTACTATGCAAAAAATTCATTTTTATAATATGTTGAAATATCTACTCTTTGCTTGAAGAATGTCGCGAAACCAGAAACCCGTGTAGCAGAATTATGGAATATAGAGTATAAAATATATTTTAAAATAAAAAGTTCACATTTCAACCAAAAACGTTTGCGGTTTATCTCCTTTTTAAAATATACCCTTTTCTCTCGTTGGAACGGACTATTGTCGCTACCCTTTGTGATCAGTACCCATTGTGAGCTATTGTGCAAACAGCCGGCAGGGAACTCTTTCGAATGTAACGTTGCAAACTAGTTATGAGTATATAATTTTTTTTTAAATGTCTTTTTATTTTTTAACTTCGTTTAAATTATTCATGCACGCATTCATACATTATATATTTTTGATATTATTTTATTTTTCGCACCACTCACAGCGATGAAACGAAAAAGAGGAAATTAGAAATAATAATAATAATAATGATGATGACGAAATGCAGGATCTGTGGAAAATATGATGAAACTGTCGACCATATTATCTCAGGAAGTCCGAAACTAGCAAAACATGAATATACCCACAGACATAATAATAATAATAATAATAATAAGAAGAAGAAGAAGAAGAAGAAGAAGAAAGGTAGAATTACAGAAACACCCTTAATAGATTTAGTTTTTGTCACAAAGATTAGGGAACTGGAGCATGGTGAAGCTTATAAGTACCTAGGAATTAGCGAAGGAGATGGCATAAAACACCCCCAAATGAAGGAAAAAATAAGAAAAGAGTACTACAGGCGTGTACGTCTGGTACTAAATACTGAGCTGAACTCAAAAAACAGGATATCAGCCATAAAAACATTGGCTGTCCCTGTGGTGCAATACAGCTTTAATGTCCTTAACTGGACCATAGCTGAAATTAAGCGACTGGATGCCAAAACGAGAAAGCTACTCACTTGCTATCGCATGCATCATCCCAAAGCTGATGTCGACCGTCTGTATGTGCCCAGATCCGTAATGAAGGAAGCCAACAAATTCAAAATGGAGTTCCAAATGGGTGTAGAGATGCAACTACAGCACAATACACCGGCTGAAACTGCAAAATACCTAAAAAAGATAGCTAAGACGAATGCAACAGACCAGTTACAGAAGCGATGGCAAGATAAACCGCTTCATGGCCAATACTCTGCCCGTACCAAACAAGCTGACGTAGACAAAACCCGTACCCATCAGTGGCTACGTAGTGCAGGGTTGAAAGCGGAAACTGAAGGTTTTATCCTTGCTGCGCAGGACCAATGCTTGCTAACTAGGAATTATCAAGCACATATACTAAAATATTGTGTCAGCCCAAAATGCAGATTCTGTGATAAATATCCAGAAACGATTGATCATCTTGTAGCAGGTTGTACGGTGTTGGCACCCACTGAATATAAAACCCGACATGACAGAGTGGGCCAATATCTGCACTGGAAAATCTGCAACTTCTACGGGAAGAAAACTGAAAGAAACTGGTATGAACACCACCCAGACCCGGTTACGGAGATAGGACCTGTTACAATTCTATGGGACTACACAATACACACTGACAGAACAATCAAGGCCAACCGCCCAGATATTGTTATTAAAGACCACAAACAAAAACGGTGCCTCCTTATTGATATGGCAGTCCCTGCCGACTGCAATGTATCTTTGAAGATATTCAAAAAGTTGTCAAAGTACAAGGACCTTGAAATAGAAATCGCGAAAATATGGCATATGGGAACATCAACAATCCCTGTTGTAGTTGGAGCCCTAGGACTGGTTGGAAAAGATTCCAGTAGACTAATTGAAGGGATTCCTGGAAGTCCATGCCTCAAGGAGATACAGAAAATTGTTCTGACAAGTACAGCCCACACCTTACGAAGGGCTTTATCTATGTAATCTTTTTTTTTTTTTTTGTCAGTAGAAAGTGTCATGACGCCATTTCTAACCTTAGGTCCCTGGGCGGGACCCGGAAAGAAATGTGTAAACGCCAGAAATCAAAGAAAATAAAAATAATAATATTAATAAGCCAACCGCTCAGACATTGTTATTAATTGACCACGAACAAAAAAGTGCCTCCTTATTGATATGGCAGTCCCTTCTGACAGCAATGTATCGTTGAAGATATTCAAAAAGCTCTCAAAATACAAGCACCTTGAAATAGAAATCCCAAAAAGGTGGCATATGGAAACATCAACAATCCCTGTTGTAGATGGAGCCCTAGGATTGGTTGGAAAAGATTCCAGTAGACTAAAAACCTCAAAGAGATACAAAAAATTGTTCTGACAAGTACAGCCCACACTTTACGAAGGGCTTTATCTATGTAATTTTTTTTTTTTTTGTCAGTGGAAAGTGTCATGATGCCATTTCTAACCTTAGGTCCCTGGGCGGGACCCGGAAAAATGTGTAGACGCCAGAAATCAAAGAAAATAATAATAATAATAAAAATAATAATAATGATAATAAAGGATTTCATATCTTATACTGAAGAGAATTTTTTTATCGATATAGTTTATTTCTTATTTTTTATCGATTTAGTTTATTTCTTATTTCAGGCTTATTTTTGTATTTCCTTTTCTACGTTCTTACTATTTTGCTTCCATCCCTTCTTTGTTTGTTTGTTTGTTTCTTTCTTTTTCCTCCTACTTCTCCTTGCCTTACCTCTGTTCTTAGCCGTTTACCAGCTTCCGGTCCCCTCTCTCCTTTTTCACCTACTCCCATTTCTGTATGCACACATTCTCCCACCTTTATTTCTTACCTTTTCTATCGCTTCATATTTCTCTTTTATTTATCCTGTCAGTAAAATTATTATTAATATCATTAATAATAATAATAAACTGTAACTAAGATCTGCTCAGTATGGTTCCAGTATAAAACACAGGTGATTTCTGTGAGTGTGGAACAAACACAAATGTGCCTGAGCAGACGTTTGCAACAGGGATAGTTAGCCGCCCTAGTAGAGAGGCATACTTGGATATGAGTGGTCATTATTATTATTATTATTATTTGTAGCCATGGTTAAATGTAAATGGCAGAACTGATCAACAAGCAGAATTGACAATGTTTGAAATAAACAATAACAAGAAAAGAAAAGAAGATGGCAAAAAACAATATTGACAAAGCAACAGTCATAAGGCAAAAGGTTCACAAACTAACAGGCAGTGTTGACGCACAAGAGCGAATTCGGATAAACGAACGCAGCGTTCTGACTTCAAGGCGAGACAAACCGTGACTGAGCCAGATGAAACCGAGAACTGGCCTAGCTTATTGGATAGAAAGAAATCCCATCATGCATCTATGTAGTTTTTGCCTATAAATTGAGTAGGGGAAGTATTATGCAGCCATTCCTAAACAGATTAATAATAATAACAACAACAACAACAATAATAATAATAAAAAAACTTGTACTCATAGGCACAGCCCACACCTTATAAAGAGCTTCAAATATGTAAAATGTGTGTGATCTAGAGGTTTTTTCATCTCAAAAAATGCTCAGTGGAAAATGATGTCATTTCTGAACTTAGATCTCTGATTGGGACCCGGAAAGAAATGACTGTACACCAGAAATCAAAAGAAATAAAATTAAAATAATAATAATAATAATAATAATTATTATTATTATTAATGGCTCGCCGCTCGTATCCGTATAATAATAATAATAATAATACTGCTGCCATATATGGTCTGGTACTCCCGCTGTTCATCTCGAGGTCCTCGAGAAAATCCAGAGACGGATATGAAAGGTGGTTGCTTCTGATCTGGCATTCCGTCGACAGTCGCTATCTCACATACGTGTTGTGGCTTCCCTCTGTCTTTTCTACAAGTACTTTCATGGCAACTGCTCCGACGAGCTACTTTAACTGGTTCCCAAACTGGATGAATTTAAGCGTTCTACTAGGTTGGCATCTCGGTCCCACCCTTTCACTGTCGAAATGACTAAATGTAACCATCTCTTCTACTCCAACAGCTTCTTATTTCGCCCTTCCCGTCAGTGGAATTCCCTTATAGCTTATGCTTCCCTGATTGCTATAACCTTCAAATATTCAAATGTAATGTCAATCGACGTCTTCTGATGCCTTGACCTTGATCCCTGTTCTTCTCTTTATCCTTTTCCAAAACACTCTTTTTTACTCTTACTCACACTCTCTGTAACCCCTTGCTTGAGGTGATTTGCTTAAACATAATAATAATAATAATTTTTATATCCTCTTCGACTATTTTCGGCCCGATGATGCGAGCTGTATGTCAGCTTTTATTTGCAGATAAGAGACACAACACTTTCCTAGCACATGAACTGTTCCAAGCAGTGATTCCACCTGTACACTAACAATGATGTCAGATACTCGCATGGTGTCTTACAAGGCAGGATATCCTGAACCCAGTCCCGAGCGCACCAACCACAAAAGTAGCAGCTTGAGATGCCACTTGGTACATTTCTCCGATTTGCTATTTAAGGTCTTGGTACCTCTCCATTTTCACCTGCTCCGCCTTTATGATGTTGTCATTCCAATGTAGCGCAACGTCTATCAGGATCCATTCATTCTGCGATTGCTCACAAGGCACTTGTTAGTCAAGATGACGTTATCCTACATTAATTTTAAATTATCATTATGATTATTGTTACCATTAAATTATTATTATGTTTATTGTTATTATTCAATTATTATGATTATTATTATTAAATTATTATTATGATTATTATTATCAAATTCACATAATTATTCTTATTCAATTATTATTATTAAAATTATATAATTCTTTTTAAAATTATTAAATTCTTCTTATTATTATTAAGTGATTATTATTATTAAATTATTATTTTATTAAGTAATTATTATGATTGTTATTATTATAATTATTAAATTATGATTATGATTAGTAATATTATTAAATTATTATGATTATTATTATTAAACTATCATAATTACTATTATTATTAAATTATTATTATTATTAAATTATTATTTTTATTTAATAAATAAGATTTTCAGTATTATAATTATTAAATTCTTATTGTGATTATTGTGATTATTACTATCATTAAATCATTATTAAATTATTATCATGATTATTATTATTTTTATTACTATTAAATTATTATTATTATTATTATTATTATTATTATTATTATTATTTCTTTTGATTTCTGATGTATACTAACTTCCTTCCGGGTCCAGATCAGAGACCTAAGTTCAGAAATGGTATCATGACATTTTTCAGTAAGCATTTTTTAAAAAAAATCACATTTCACTCATATTTTACATAGATAAGGCCCTTCGTAAGCTGTGGGCTGTACTCGTGAGAACAAATTTTTGTAATTCTTTAAGGCATTGGCTACAAGCAATCCCTACAATGTGTCTATTGGAATCTTTTCCAATTTATTCGAGGGCTCCAACCAGACCGAGAATTATTGATGTCCTCATGTGCCACATTTTTGAGATTTCGATTTCAAGGTCCTTGTATATATAAATAGTTTTTTGATGATTTTCAAAGATACATTGCAGTCTGTAGAACTGACATGTCAGTCAGAAGGCACATTTTATCCTTGCGGTCTCTAAGCACGATCTCCGATCGTTAAGGTGTGATTGTTCTGTCTGTACATATTTTAAAGTCCCATAAAATTGTTACAGGTCCTATCTCCTTAACCGGGTCTGGAGGGTGTTCATACCAATTTTTTGTAGTTTCCTTTCCGTAAAAGTTGCAGATTTTCCAGTGCAGATATTGGCCCACACTATCATGCAGTGTTTTATATTCAGTGGGTACAAATATCGTGCAACAAGATGGTCAATTGTTTCTGGATATTTATTACAGAAGCTGAATTTCAAGTTAACGCAATTTTTCAGTATGTATGCTTGGTAATTTCTACTTAGCAATCAATTTCCTGTGCAGCAAGAATAAAACCTTCTATTTCAGCTTTTAACCATGCACTATGTAACCACTGATGGGTATGGAGTTTGTCTACATCCGCTTCTTTGGTACGGGCAGAATATTGACCGTGAAGCGGTTTGTTTTACCTTCGTTTCTATATCTGGTTGATTGCATTTGTCTTTGCTTTCTTTTTTTAAAGTATTTTGCAGCTGCATTCGGTGTATTATGCTTTGCTTGCATTTCTTCATCCATTAGAAAATTCATTTTGAACTTGTTGGCTTCTTTTATTACTGAATAAAGTTTTGTACTTTTTTCATGTTCTTGGACACGGAACATCATCCAGTCTTCTGTTGTTTCAAGGTATCTTTGAAGAACAATTGTTGTAATTTTGTAAGACAGTTCTAGTTGAACTAATCCTCTGCCTCCTTCGGATCTGAACACACACAGACGATCAACATCAGTCTTGGGATGATGCATGTGGTGGCAGGTGAGAAGCTTTCTAGTTTTGGCGTCCATTCATGTCAGCTATGGTCCAGTTAAATATTATTATTATTATTTTTATTTTCTTTGATTTCTGACGTTTACACATTTCTTTCCGGGTCCCACCCAGGGACCTAAGGTTAGAAATGGCGTCATGACACTTTCCACTGACAAAAAAAAAAAAAAAAAAATTACATAGATAAAACCCTTCGTAAGGTGTGGGCTGTACTTGTCAGAACAATTTTTTGTATCTCCTTGAGGCATGGACTTCCAGGAATCCCTTCAATTAGTCTACTGGAATCTTTTCCAAACAGTCCTAGGGCTCCAACTACAACAGGGATTGTTGATGTTCCCATATGCCACATTTTCGAGATTTCTATTTCAAGGTCCTTGTATTTTGACAACTTTTTGAATATCTTCAAAGATACATTGCAGTCAGCAGGGACTGCCATGTCAATAAGGAGGCACCGTTTTTGTTTGTGGTCTTTAATAACAATATCTGGCCGATTGGCCTTGACTGTTCTGTCAGTGTGTATTGTGTAGTCCCATAGAATTGTAACAGGTCCTATCTCCGTAACCGGGTCTGGGTGGTGTTCATACCAGTTTCTTTCAGTTTATTATTATTATTATTATTATTGTTATTATTGTTATTATCTTCAGTTACTCTGATTTACTACTTCATGAAATATTTTAAAAAGCCTTTCACTTTAGACATTAAGCCAAGGAATTTTTTTCTTTCAAAATTATTGAGCATATCACACTAGGAGAGTTTTCTTTCATGTGTATGCGATCTCATGAGCGTAAAGCTTTTTTTTTATCATAGATAGTCAAGGGTTTCCAAAAATGTGTGCATCTTAATTGCCGTGTCTATTCAGGGCGTGGGTGATCATAGCTCTCCACAACTTTTTATATTTTGTAGTTCTAATTAATGTTTGTTTCTTGACTATCTCTCCTAGTCCTTGTTCCGTTGTCCATTTACACAATCTCGTTAGGTAGGTTACTCTCTCCCTCACCCCTTATCTCCAATATGTGCTGTGAATATCAAATTTTCCAAGCCCTCTTTCCTCAAGACGTGTTCTAGAAATTTCAACGGTTTCATTCTGATTCTCATTTATGTGCCATGCGTAATACATGCTTAGGCGATCATGTATCTTTCGATACATAACTGACGAGGCAGATTTTTTTCTTTCTGCGATAGAACTATAGGCTATAGGCCCGGTCTGTCCTGCTATTTACTCATAGATGGTGTTGGAGAAGACGAGGATTCATACCTTTCCCAAGGGTATTAGCACGTAATGGATTCGACTGGAATTCGAACTCGGCTCTCCGATTCCTCAATCTGAGCCTATACCCATTACTCCACCCTGTCCCTAGAGCTCTTTGTCTATTTTGTTTCCATTTTTCTTAAAGATTTCCTCGTTGTTTAAATGTTCCATCCATGGTATTCCCAGCATTCTTCTGTAGAAGCACATCTCTGTTACTTCAGGTTTCCTTTTCATCTGTGAGGAAATTGTCCAGCATTCTCTGCTATATAGAAAGATTGATATTACATAGAATTCAGCAATCTTTCTCTTTGCTTCTAAGGCATTTTCCCTTTTTGTTAATATTTTATCAGTATTCTTTTAATACTTCCTAGTGCACCTGGCATTATTGGTATCACTGTGTTTAAATTCCACATATTTTTACAATTATTATTTCCAGTTCTTTATATATTGAAAAGGTTATTATTATTATTATTGCTTTACATTCTTTTTCTTTACTCCATTTTTTGTAGCATGTTTATTTAGACGCAATATTTTCCTGTTTCCCTTTTTATAAATTAAATATGCTTCACCACCTCAGCCGACCAAATATTTTTTCATTTATTTATTTCTCATTCTTCCGCCATCTTTTCTTTTTATAAGAGCTTCCTTTTCATATTCGTCCTTCTATCTTAAACAAATTTAATCTTCATTGCCATCACTACCCCCCTTTCTCTCCGGCTCTCTCTCTCTGTTTTCTGATTTCCCTTTCTTTTTCCATGCCCTCTTCAAGCTAGTCTTGACCTCAGCTGCCAACCATTCTGTCCGCCTTTAGACGATGGCAGCGCCTTTTGGCGGGTATTGAGAGGAAATCAATCAAGCCATAATGTGCAATAGATCGATAAACAAGTCATGAATCCAAAAGTGGTTCATTCTCATCACAGAACTGAGCCTTGGAAAGCAACGAAGATGGCTGACGTAGCAAGCGAATAGCGGGAAGTGTGTGGCGGGAAAAATATAGAAAAAAATGTTCGCCCAACAAGCGGTGATTTCTCCAACGTAAGGTTTGAGCCTATTAACTGAAAAACATTAATTGTCTTGTTTGTTTATTTATAACCTTTCCAGACATTAATTCTTGTGTAGTGTGGGTAGTTTGTAATATGCAAGATTTCTGACGGAATAAAACTATCATAGTAACAGACTTTATGTCGAAATTATTATTTGGAAAGTATTTTGTGTCACGTATAGGTTTAGATCACTGAGTCGAAATGGCGTGGACTATTCGTTAATTTGAATTAAAATTTTGCTTTTAAAATAATTAGTTTTTTAATACCACATCCCTCCTGGGCGTAGGCGATCATGGCTCTCTACAACTTTCTTTTCTTTATCATTTGTGAATTGCCACGCATTCTTAAAAAAAAAGATAGTAGAATGTTTTCTCTTCGCTTTTCCATGATTTGAATTTTCCTTCTCATAGATTGGTTGACACGCAAGGCTAGAAAAACTCATTCTACACTATTATTTAACGTAGACAAGAAGAGACGAATGCCATTTTTAAAATCTTCTTTTTATAAAATACCATGTCCTTTCAGGGCGTTTTTATTTTTTTTTAAATAGCATCATCATGCTAATAGGACTCAGGTAGGTACAGGGAGTGAAAGAGAATGAGAAGCTTTTAGTAGAAAGAAAACGATGAGAAAGAAAAAGAAATTGGGTCCAGGTAGACAGAAGATAGTGATTTGCATTGCATTTAAATTTTTGAAGATTGTGGTTATCAGGGAAGCCAAGGATCGGAAAGGAGTTTCACAGGTGGGAAGTGCGAGGAACAAAACTATTAGAATAGAAGTGGCGGTTGTATCTCCCTTGTGCAACAGTAAATCGGTGACACCTAGTTGCTAACCTAGTAGCATGCTTAAATTGATGTAGCCGAGGCTGTAAGGAAAAAAAGCTCATCAGAACAGTTGACATGAAAATATTTGTAGAAAAGACAGAGAGAAGCCACGTCACAGCGGTGGGAAAGTGACTGGAGTCGAGATGCCAGGTCAGGATCGATTATATTACAGACCCTTCTTTGGATTTTGTCAAGAATCTCTAAATTTACGAAAGTAGCACTAGGCCAGATATGGTAATAGTATTCAAAGCCCGGATGAATGGTATATTTATAAATATTGCAAGATGGATTTTAACGAGAAATTTTTTTTCTGGCAGGACACAGTGAACCAGATTTCCTAGCAGTAGATCTAGCAATTGATTCGATATAATCGCAGAACTTCAGGTTCTTGGAATGTCAAAGTGATGCTCTTCTGGAGTTTAACATCAGCTATGTTAATGGCAGAGAGAAAAGTTTCTATCTGATGATTAAATAAAAGCTATTTTGTTTTGGAGGCGTTAAAATTTACTAGCGATTTCTTGCCTCAGTTAACAATTGGGGTTCCTTTTCTAGAGCAGTTGCCAGGTTTACTTTATTTTGACTTACTGCTAAGACAGGACCGAATGGTAGTGTCATCTGCATAAATACCTAGTTGAGACCTGATGGTATCATTGATGAAGATCAGAAACTGCAGGTTTACGGATAGAGCCCTGGGACTCTCGCTTTAGCATGAAATGATCTGGAAGCATGCCCGTTTAAGACAAAATCATTACACAATTTGTTAGGAACGATTGGATTAAGCTAAATATTTGTTTTGTGACACAGTAGCCATTGACCTTGACGAGAAGGCTAGCATGTTAAACCCTGTCGAGCGCCTTTGATATATCTAGAGCCACAGCCCGAGCTTTGCCATTCTTGATTGATAAGTTCAGTGACGGCTGTTAACATGTCGGAGGTAGACCTAACGAAATGGAAACCCTATGTTTGTCCGAAAGGGGGTCGTTCGAAGTAATATGCTTAAACAAATAAGCGATCATGACTCTCCACGACTTTCTTTTCTTTTTTAGCCATGAAAAGGGAGTGGAGATGTTTTCGTTTTCTTCTTCTTCTTTGTGCTGTCTCCCCTCGGGGCGTGGGAGATTATGGCTCTCCACAACTTCCAGTCTTTTGTAGCTTTTAGCAATATTTCTTTTTGCTATCACCCGTCAACCATTAGCACAAGTTCGTTAAGCAGCTTCTCTCTGTCATATCTTGCCTTCAGTTTGTTTTGTGAGTGTCAAATTTTCTAAGCTCAATTCCCTTATTATGTGTTCCAGAAATTTCAACCGTCTTTTTCTGATTCTAAGTATAAGCGTCTCTTTTGTTTCCATTTTTCCTTAAAAAATTCTTCATAGTTTGAAATTGAGGGCTTTTCCTTCTCTTAGACTGATTGTTACTCAAAGTTAGAGAGCCCCGTCTACCCTGTTATTTAGCACGGGGCTTTGTGGCGAAAGAGATGGATAATATTTTTTTGGTTTTCTTTTTATTGAATACCAGGCCCTTCAAGACGTTGCCGATCATGACTCTTCCTTTCGTTATTATACGTGAATTACCGTTCCTTGAGAAAATCTTCTGAGACGCCATTTTGTTTATTTGCCGTTTATTTCTTTGGTGTCGTAAACATCACTAATATTGAGGGATTAAGGTAATTAACGTATATTAATTGCAAATCGTTTATGTAATCTTAGTCTGTCGTTTGACAAATATATGCCTGGATTTTTACTCTTTCGTGCGAAGGATTACTCGACTAAACACACGAAAAAACAGTTCCAGAAGTCTAAAAAATGGGGTTTCATTATTACTATTATTTTTGTTTCGTTATTAATCTTGTTTTGGTAGTAAAATTAAAAAAAAAATGTTTTCGCTGTTCGATCGTTAATGTTTTTTATTTTATTTTTGTTTTTTTAATCATTTCACCCCAAGCAAGGCAATAAAGCCACTAAGACGCAAGGGGGTTAATGAGTGTGAGAGAATATGAAAAAAATAAAATATATTTTTTAGTTCTGTTCATAAAAAATATATTGTTCAATTTTTTTTGTTTAATAATGAATTTACTGAGTTTATTTAAAGAAAAAAGAAAACATTTGGCCGTTAAAAATGTGCTAGTTACTTTTTATCCGTATAATAAAAGACAAATGAAAAAACTTTAAAAAAATGTTTTTCAGATGTTAAATAAAAAGGATCTATTATATAATAAGGATCTATATATTAGAATATATAAAGATTAAAATGTGTGTGTTTGTGCATACTTGCTTGAAACTTTAAAAATTAACTAAATAAGCGGGAGTTTTTTTTTAAGGATTTCACCCCAAGCAAGACAATAAAGCCACTAAGACGCAAGGGGTTGCTGAGTGTGAAAGAATATCAGAAAAACCTTGATTAAGGAGAGAGAACAATGAAAGAACAGGAATTAAGAATATAGAAGATATCGATTGACATTGCATTTAAATGTTTGAAGATCAAAGTTGACTTGGAAGCATGAAGCTGGAAGAGAGTTCCACAAGTGAGAAGTGCGAAAGAAGAACCTGATAGCATAGAACTTACGGTCACATCTAGCCATTTCAACAGTAAAATTATCGGACCTTGTCGCCAATCTAATACTGCGCTTAAATTCATTAAGTCAAGGTGCCATACAGGAAAGTTCCTCAGAGCAATTACCAACCTATTCTTTTATGGTCCTTTCTCCTCATTAAAGTCTTCTCATTCTCTTTCACCCTCAGTAACCCCTTGCGTCATAGTGGTATTATCACTTTGCTTAAGGTTATCATTCATAAAGTGAAAAAATCTGACGCATGTGTGTCTAATAAAAGTGGCGTGTGTTGAACTGTTTATAACTTTATGTAAGAGGGACGGACTTTTTTAATTAATCCGTTTAAGTAACAAAAATTGATAGTACCTCGGGCAAAGTTTCCTCGAAGAGCACGGGACCACACCTACAAAATTATCTTTCTTACCAGTGAGTTGAATTTTGTTGTCCTTCACTTTGATCGGTTGCTAAGGCGTGAAGGACCAGTCTACTCTGTTACTTTACTGACAACTTGCGTATTATTATAATTCTACTTGCTCTACCGTTACTTAGCAAGTTAGTTAGCGCGTTCGTTACGCCTTGTCATTGCCCAAGATAAATAATGGACCATTTCGTTCTGATTGCGAGAAAAGACAAAAGAAAAATATCAGAGGCGTATTTTGGTTTTAATGAGCATATATAATAAGAAAGAAAGGGAAGATAAATGAGGCGACAAAGCTCCCGTGCGTTTAACGTCTGCTTCAGTGAAATGGCTCTTCATACTTATAATTATTACTGTAATATTTTGTTAAAGCTGTTAAGCTCAATATTTAATGATGTAATAATGGAATTTTGGTAGGTATTTTATAGCCTTCGAACTTTCAAGGAGTTTATTCAATCATTAACTTAATAATTGGGATTCACCAGAAAATTAAATTTGGAAAACTTCATGGAGACTGTTAGCATTTTCAAATCCTTTCTATTTTGGCGTATTTAATGTTGTTTTTAATTTGTTTGAAAATAGCTTCATATATATATATTATATATATCAGAGGAGTTATAGTTAGCTGTTCGGGTTGAGGAATCGGAGAGCCGAGTTTGAATTCCAGTCGAATCCATTACATTCACTTACGTGCTAATACCCTTGGGAAAGGTATGAATCCTCATCTCCCTCTAGCTATGGGTAAATAGCAGGACAGACTGGTTTCTATAGACTTGGATGGCAACTGGTCTAGGACAAATCTGAATTCAAAACCTGCAGAGTTTCGTTGGGGGCCTTGTGGCACGTAGTGCATCAGATCTCTGTATTCGGTCCTTCAAAAAGTGTGGATGAGTCTGCACAAAGCCTTCAACACTTTAATCAAATCACATGTGCTGGTGTC